TAATAATAATAATGATATATATATATATCAAGCCCCCTTTCAAGTGGGCATAAACAGTTGAATTTGATAAATTTAACATCACATCAATCTCACGTGTTGTTATTTGCCGGTTTGCATCAACTAATGCCAAAATTGTGTCAGAAAAAAACGAAATTACTTTCCGAACAATCCAACATATATATTATTTAATTTATAATAATTAATTATATTACTTAGATTATAAATAATTTTGATTTTCTTTTTCCAACATATTTTTCATGAAATTATGATAAAAAACTATTACAAAATTATGATACGAAACTTATAAAAAAAAAAAAAGAATATATTTTACAGTTTAATTGAAAACCAAAAAAGAAAAAAATAGAATAAAACGAATCAAACATACTGTAAAACGTATCATCGTACAATAAAATTTATAAAATAAGAAATCTAAAAAGAAAATGAAAATTAAAAGAAAGAAAAATTGTTATCTTAAATAAGAATGCTTGTGAAACTTTTTCCTTTCGATATTTTGAAAACGTATGAAATATTTTTTAAAACTTCATTTCTCCTAACTAATCCAACTAACCTAAGATACGATAAATCTTAAACGAGTTTTACAACAGTGTAAAATTAACAAAAATAATCTAAAACATTAAAATCTTGTATTGTCTTTGTAAAAAAAAAAAAAGATCTAATTAAGCATAATCATACTTTAAAGTTGACTCAATTTCCTATTAATAAATTAAAAGCCAACGTTTTCTTACTATCCAATATGCGATTAGAATGTTATCGTTTGGTTAACTGTCTTCTCAGTGATATCATCCTCAGTTTTCTAAGAAACAATATTCACAGAATACGATGAATAATACGTCAATACTTCAAGTAATTATCGTCACGTACATTCATACAACATATAACATATATATATATATATATTAACGTATGTCTACATACATGTATATTTACATTTAGTTATTAAAAATATTTTTTGAAATTGCAAGAATAAAATAATTACCAAAATATGTCTTACTATATGAAAATATAAAGAAAAAAAATTTAATAATAATCAAATAAGTATAAACAATTTATTAACGAAATAACGCACGCGTGCACGCGAGGGCACGAGTACATACACATATCGTATACATATGTAAATTGATTGAGTGCCTATTATTAAAACAAAACTGCTATCCGTGATATATGATATCAGTAACTCAATAAGAAAAGAAAAGAAAAAAAAAAAAAAGAAAAAATTAAATAACACGATACTCGAATGATTCTAGAATATTCCACGAAGTAATTTTCCTTGAAGATAAGCATGAAAAAAGATATCGAAGAAAATTAATAGGAATCACTACACATTTCTACATAAATATATTAAGTAAGTTATAATATGAATTAAATTTTAAATTAAATAAATAAATAAATATATATATATATATATATATATAATATATATATTGAGGTGGGTCAAAAAAATCAATTATTTTTTTTTTCAAGTGCCACGGAAAAATGGGTTGCTAGACACCTTAAAAAAATTTTTACCAAATATGAGCTCTTAATTTTAATAGGAAGATCTTCTGCATCGCAGTTTTTTATTTTTTTCTCAGTCCAATAGAATAAAATTCATACCTCATTATTTATTGATTGTACAGAAAAATGTTCAAGACAAATTTTGTAGGAAATTTAATGCTCTATAAGAAAGGTATCTTATATTTTTTCCGTAAACTTCACCATTTGAATGATATTGAAGATTTAAATTTGATGATTTTTAGACAATAAATAACTATTAAAAAGTGCACAATACAAATTTTTGTTGGAAATTAACTGCTCTATAAAAATGGTGTTTTATGTTTTGGCGATTAAATTAACCGTTCAAAAGTTATTTATCATCAAACTTTCATGTGTACTGATTTTTGTCTCTGAATATCTTTTGAACGCTTATAATAGGCGTTTTTTTGGTGAAAAAACAAAACTTTTTTTTCAAAAGTGCGCTATTTTGTAAAAAATTAATATTTTGGAAAAGTTAATCGTTCAATCTGTTAAGACACATCTATACAAGGTATTTGCATTAATTTTGTTTATTTCAGATGGTCCAGGAAAGAGATTCTTTACTCACCTCAAACCACATTTTTTTTCTGGACATCACGCAGATTGGTTATAACTCTGTTGTGTCTCAATATTTGTACATAAAAAAATTACTGTATTATCTTCAAACATGTATATTTTGAACTAAAGATCATTCGTCAAAAAATATAAAGCCAGTTTTCCAAAAAAAAATTCGTAAAAAAAGCGTTTTTTTCGGGCCTCTAAGGGTATATCCCCCTTAATATAATCAAACTTCAATCTTCAATATCATTCAAATGGTGAGGTTTACGGAAAAAATATAAGATACCTTTTTTGTAGAGCATTAAATTTCCTACAAAATTTATTTAAAATATTTTTCTGTACAATTAATTAATGATGAGGTATGAATTTTATTCTATTGGACTGAGAAAAAAATAAAAAACTGCGATGCAGAGGATCTTCCTATTAAAATTAAGAGCTCATATTTGGTGAGAATTTTTTTAAGGTGTCTAGCAACCTATTTTTCCGTGGCACTTGTAAAAAAGAAATAATTGATTTTAAACAAATAGTTTCGATAATTTTTTCTTTTACAATCTCTATTAAATTATAATAAAATACTCTAAATAGATGAAAAAAAAATATATATATTTTACAATTTATTAAAAAAAAAATTAATAATAATGTGAAATAACGAGTATTAGAAAAATACATAAATAAAATTAAAATTTAAATTAAAAAAAAAAAAAAAACAAATTGGTATATATAACATTTTTTATAGTACTTCTTCCTTCTAAATTCTGAAAATAGTTGAGTATAAGACCTTCCCTTAAGACCCCACCCCTCTCGTCTTATTGTAAACAAATTTTACAATTTTGTTAAAAGTTATAAAAACATTTGAGATTTTAAATATTTCTATTAAATTAATATTGGATTATAATATTTAGTCTTGCCTTAATTAGATCAATCATAATTCAATTTGCTGTCCACCAACCTTTCAAATGAGACCCACGAACCCTTCAAATGTGGCCCAGGATACTCAGTAATGACCTTATCTTTTTTTTTCTTCTTTTTTCTTTATTACTTCCAGCCACTTGTCACCCATTCCAAAACCCCATAATCCTTGGGTCTGAAATTTTTCAAATACGCGTATTGTTTTGCAACTAAAGTGATTGATTTTCAAATGGTGCCAATGTACCGAGCCCGCATAATACGACGCCTACAAAAGTAAAAGATTAATTTAATCCTGTTTCAGACAATTGTTTTTTTTTTCTTTACAAGTTATAGATTAGTTAGTATTTAATAAGAGAAAAAAAAAGTCGATATGTTAGCCTTGAGAATTGACGCGTTAGCCCACATGTTTGTTCTTGCGAATCCGTTATTAGTTTGTAAAGTATGTTAAGGTCAAACGAATGAAAAGTGAAACTTTTAACTGCAATCTAGTCCGTGAATTCAAAATTTTGTAATATAAAATAAATCTTTCAATAAATAAATAATAATAGTAAATTAAAAAATGTATAAAAAGAATATTTTTATATATCTTTATATATAAAAATTCAGTGACACAATATATTTGTCCATTAATAATTTCGAAAGTATTGAACCGATCGTAATGAAATTTTGTTCATTTTGTGTGATTTTGTTCAACTTAGAATACAGAATAGATTTTATCGCGATTATTTTTATTTTTTATTGCTAATTTAAAGATTTATTATTTAAAGTTTATCTAGGTCTTTAGGTACTGTAAGTATTCAATAGATGGCACTGTATTACAATTCTATTATTTGGATATATTCACGTCATACGTTTTTTTCAGATTTACATATGACATAACCTTACTTTTTCTATTTTTCTTGTGTATTATTATTTTATGTGATTCCATTCTAATTGTAGTATTATTTTGTATGTTGATATATATATATATAAATGAATATTATTTATTTATATAATAATATTAAATAAATAAATATACTGTACAAATAATAAAAATATAATATATTATTTTAATAATATATTTATTATTTATTGTATTTAATAATTATTTAATTATATATTATAAAATAATAAATTATAATATATAGCATAATATAATAATATAATTTGAATTCTCAGAAATTATTAGTAAATATTAATTTAAATGCCTTAAATAATTTAAATTGAAGTTTTAGAAACAAAGCCACAGCAACGTATGGCCAAAGCATCCTAGTAATAAAATATTTAATAAAAATGTATAAAAAGAAAAAGCAAAAGAAAAACAAAGTGAAAAGAAAAGAAAAAAAGAAAAAATGTACGAGATTTAATTTATTTCTATTTTTTTGTATCCTTTATAGTGTCCAGGTTTTTCAGGAAAAGAAAAAAAAAGAGAAAAAAACCAATCAACACACGGTTGGGGATATAAGTGTGGTAGGAGGTAAGAAGGTATCGTAGGTAGGAAGGGTATCACCCAGTGACCCTATCGTGTCTGGTTGCACCAGGTACAAGTTATAGATTACTTTGCTGCCGGTTGAGGACTCTACGAGTACGGTTGCTATAGTTGCCGAAAGGAAAAGCTCTTTTACCACCTGTGTGGTGGTGGTTGCATTGGAAGGAATACTCCAGTCCAATCTTGAAGGGCTATCTCGAGTTAGATCGATTCGAGGGTGTTTGTTGCTATTGGTAGTGCTAGTCCTAGTGTTAGTTGTGGTGATGGTGATGGTTGTGTTGGTGGTGGTCATTGGATGAGATCTCCCCAAAGTACTATAGTAGTTTTTTTTATCTTTCTAAGAAAAGAAGATATTTCCCATCACCGAAAAATGTCTGGTTTGGGGTAGGCCAATCTTTGAGTGTATCAGAAAACACTTGAGTAGGATACGAGAGATAAACAACATAAAGGCTAATATTATTACTTCAATTCTTATTAGAAGTTATAATGGAAGAGATGAAAAAGTAATAGTTAATTAAAATAATATGTCTGAATGGGTGGTGTGTGTTCGTGTAAATCACGGGCTAGTCAGATCAATTCTGGCTCGATTTTGGATCGCGTGATAAGCCAGGCAAGCAACGAAGATCAGTGTTTGCTTTATCGTTTGGCAAATTACAAGAAAGGTGGTGAATTGATAGAGGCATATAATTTGGGCGGTCAACCGGAAGTCGAGAAGTTGATGAGAGAACAGTTTGGTATATTGATGTACGGTGATGGCAAAGGTCAGGTGATCAATCGTGCCGAATACTTACGCTGGAAATTTCGTGATCTTGATCAAGTGGTATTACCGATAGAAGCATCCTTGTCACGTTTTGATCCTTTGGCATTGTGGAACGATCACGAAGCATGCTGGCAAATGCAATATCGTGGATCCTTAGGGGAAAGTTTATTGCACGTATTGATAATATGCGACACGAGAATGCATACAAGAATCGCTAGAATTTTACTCAAGTGTTTTCCAAGATTGTCCATTGATGTTGTTGAAGGTGAAGAATATCTAGGTGCTAGTGCGTTACATCTTGCAATAGCTTACAACAATAATGAACTGGTACAGGATTTGATAGATGCCGGTGCTATTATTTCACAACGTGCCATTGGTAGCTTCTTCCTACCAAGAGATCAACAGAGATCTAATCCAGCAAGGAGTACCGATTACGAGGGTCTTGCCTATCTTGGTGAATACCCGCTTGCATGGGCTGCTTGCTGCGCAAACGAGAGCGTTTATAATCTTTTGTTAGATAACGGAGCCGATCCCGACGAACAAGATTCTTTTGGGAACATGATATTGCATATGGTGGTCGTTTGCGATAAATTGGTAAGCACGATCTGTTACAAATTATCTAATAGTTCAAGAGTGACGTTCAAACATCTCTCTTTCTCTCACATTGCTTTTTGTTATTTTCTTCTTTTTTGGTTTAATTCAAATATTCGAACGTATTACCTCGTAGTTTGGGGAATAGGGATTTAGGTTAGTTTTGAAAACTTATTACATACTAACTTTTGCTACACAAAATATAATATATGCATTTATACGAACACGTAGATGTATATATTAAAATACGTATATTCAGGGTTTCCCGTAACTAATGTTATAAGCATCCAGTAACTGATGTATGTTAATATGAGGCTTTGTTTTTGAGAAATATATGTTTCAAAATTTGTCAATTTTATTTTATTTGTTAATGTAATATATTTTTTTCTTTATTTAATCAATTGAGATACTTTTTATTGTTAAAATAATAAATTAAAAAAAAGAAACAAATACAACAAATACATCGAAATGTCAATATCTTATAAGATATTAAATATTTAATAGAACGGATTATTTCTTTTTTTTTTTTTTAAATAAAAACAATGTTGAAGGTTGAAATTTGGTAGCTTATTATTTTATAATTATTTATTAAATAAAAAGAAAAATAGTAATATATATTTATTCTTTAATTATTAATAAAGAAATATTACTTAAACACAAACTCGGATGGTTTATCTTTATTACACAAAATAACGGATACTAATTTGACTTTTACTTTTATGAAATCATCACGTAATATGTATGCTGTGTCTCACATGTTTGTATTTCTAATATTTCTAACACATTCTTGAACTTACTCATACTAATTCGCAATAACACTCTGGTGAACTTCTTACTAACTAAAATTATATCATCCTATTAGAAACAAGATACTTATTTCCGATAAATAGAAAAAAAATCATATACCGTGAAAATATGTCCTAACTTCCTATGACCTTATTTTTTCCGTGGATGCACCAATGCACCATGTCAGGTGCAATTACATTTTATTTTTATTTTTTTCAACGTTAAGTGACTATTTCTTTTTATTTTTTTTTACCTTTAAAACCAGGACATTTTTTTTTTTTTTTTTTTAACAAGTGTTTCAAGAGATAAGATCATATGCACTTTCTACGTGCTATTTTCTTTTTTTCTTATGTTGCTCATGAATAAATAAGCTTTTATATGGTACAGAAATTTTCTAATGCAATTTAGTATTTTAGAGATTACCCAGAACAACTGTGCTAACATACACACATTACCACTTCATAATGTATTAAAGTACAGATCAGTGGTTCTTAATCTTAACGAAGTTAAGGTGATTGTAAGAAAAATTTGCTAAACATCAAAATCATAAAATTAATAATCAAGAATATTCATAAACATATTTTTTTATTAAAAATTATATTATTTATTTGTTATATGCAAATTGATCGATGACAAGTGTTTTCATATTCATTTATTTTATGCAAAACTGGTTAAGAACCACTGGTATGGATTATGCAAGTAATTTTGTAAAAGACAACAGAAAATGTTGAATATGAGTATATGTATAGTTAGGTTCTTAACCATTTCCCTGTATTAAGGGATAAAACTAGTTCCGGTATTAGAGATGTGTTTCGTAAATTTAATTGTATCTTCTTTATAATTGTTGTTTATATTCTTTATTTTTTCTATTGTTCTTTTAATTTTTGTATAATTTCCTAAATTGTACAAATTATATTTCAACAACAAACTGAGACCAATAACCAAAAACAACTACTGTATTAATAAAACCAATATATAGTCACTTTACTTTAATTAACCTCACTTTTTTTTATCAGAATGTCTCATATCTCATAAAGTATCGATATATTAATGATATTGGTTAAACAAAAAATTGTTATATTAAAAGAACAAAGAATGGCAAACAAATTTTCAAACATATTTTCCTAATAAACAAAGTTTCATATGAACAAAATTCCATTTAACATTTTCCAACTAAATTTTTGTATGTAAAATAAGTCACATTAGAAATTTGCACATTGACCAGTTACTGGTCACCATGTATATTTGTAAATGTATTTAAATATACAGATAGTTTGATCACATTGAACATAGGACATGTTCGGATATGCTCTGCGACATCCGAAGCTTCCAGCACGCAATGGGATTCTAAACGGTGCTGGTCTGACCCCGTTGACCCTAGCCTGCCAGTTGGGACGTGCTGAGGTCTTTCGAGAGATGCTGGAACTGTCAGCACGAGAGTTCTGGCGCTACAGTAATATCACCTGTTCGGCGTATCCTCTTAATGCACTCGACACGCTCCTGCCCGACGGTAGAACAAGTACGTCCTAAAGCTAATCGAATTACATGCTTACGAGAATCGCGCTATCTGTCCTCTCCCTTTGCGTGTGTCTCTAAGGGTGGCGAGACAAGGACATTCAAGAGACATCTTACTTGCTTTACCTTTAGTTCTCTACCTCTATCTCTCTCTCTCTCTCTCTCGCTCTCTCTCATTCTGTCTCTAGCTCTATCTCTATCTCTCTCTTTCCTATATTCCACCTAATTGCCATGAGTTAAGATGGAATTGCTATGAACCAGAGGTACTCAACTTTTATAATTCTCGGGTTGCACATATACGATGATTATTATTTTGAAACAAACATATACATTAGAAAAAATTATAATGAAAATGTATTCAAATATGTTGAATTTGGATAACAAATTTATAACAAAAGTTTTTCAAAATTAAAATTAATTTCTAATATTAATAATTTTGAAATTAAAATCAATTCACAAGTTAAGATCGAATTATTATGGTCTATGGGTATTTAACTTTTATATACTTCTTGGGTGGATTATTATTTTTAAATAAACATATACATGACAAAAAATTAAATTATTAAATTATATTCCAAAATGAATTGTATTCCATGATGACATATATGAAAATGTACTATTTGAATATGTTGTTTTAGAATAACAAGTTTAACAAAAGTTTTTCAAAATTTAAATTAATTGAAAAAATTAATTGTTAACAAATTAAATGACGAAATTAAAATTTAAATGTTAATTTCGAAAGTAAAGATCGAATTGCTGTGGACTAGGGATACTCAACTTTCATACTTCTCAGGTTGCACATATACAATGATTATTATTTTTAAATAAACATATACATTAAAAATGAAATTATTAAGTAACATTTAAGATATAAAATATAATGAACATGTATTTAAATATGCTGGATTAGGATAACAATTTTAACGAAAGCTCTTCAAAGTTTAAATTAATTTCAAATGTTAATTAATTTTAAAATAATTATAATTTCAAAAGTTAAAATCGAATTGCTATGAACCAAGGGTACTCAACTTTTATACTTTTTGAGTTGAACACATACGATGATCATGATTTTTAAACGAACATATACATAAAAAATTAAATAATGAACATTAATTATAAACATTTTTCGTACGCCGTTTTGGTAAAAAGAAGTAACCTCTGATATATAATTAGTGATCCGCTAAATTGTGAAATATTAATTTTCAAAAATATTAAATTTATTTTTAAATAATCAGTTCACCATTTTAAATCGGCCATTTTGTTTCAAAAAAATCAGATTCTTAATCAACTACCTTCTAAGTCCTTGAATTCTAATTCTCAAAAAGATTGAATTACTTTTTACAAAATACGTCCGCCATTTTATTTTTCAAAAAAAAAAACATCAGATTTATAATTAGCGATTCCTAAAATTCTGAAACATTAATTTTCAAAAATATTAAATTAATTTTTAATTTATCAGTCCGCCATTTTGAGTCGGCCATTTTATTTAAAAAAAAATCAGATTCTTATAGAACTACCTCCTAAGTCCTTGTATTCTAATTTTCAAAAAGAATTGAATTACTTTTTACAAAATCAGTCCGCCATTTTATTTTTCAAAAAAATAACATCAGATTTATAATTCGTGATTCCCTTAAATCCTTAAATGCTAATTTTCAAAAAGATTAAACTACATCTCCATATGCATCCTACATTTCCAATTTGGACCTATTTCGGATTTGGGCCCGTTGTACTCCGCGAACCGTAAAATGTGAATTTTATTTGAATTATTCATTTTGTTATATATTATTCCTTATTTTCAACTTCTTGCAACTCTCGTAGAAAATTTTTATTGTGAAACTACATGTTCTTTATTTATTTATTTTTCTAGTTTTTTTTTTCTTTTATTATCTTCCTTTGTTACTTCATATAAGACACCTTTGAGTATAATTCGTTGGGAAATAAGGAAGCGAAGAGGTTGACTAAACTGCCAGTTTAATCTAGCGGAAAAATGAAATGCACTGGCAAAAATTCAAGCATGAAAGAATAAGAATAAGTGAGTGCAAACAAAGTGGAAATTACTCTCATGAATGTACTTGAAGTTTTAACAAAATGATACTACCCCAAAAGACGTTAATAAGAAATGAAATTTTTATTTCTCGAAAAACAAAACGATCATGTTGTTAAGTTTGTCGGTTAACGTTAAATACAGAATTAGGGACGAGAAAAGTTTTTTTTATAGGTTAGAATTTTCGATAAAGAAAAAGTCCACTATTATTATTTTTACCTAAAAAAAAAATCAAACAAAAAAATATAAGAAACATTTTCCTCCACTAATTATCGTTTCTCATATCGTAAAAGGTACAAGTCTGTAAATAGAAATCATTGATCCTCCTCCCTCTTCCCCTCTCCCTCCCACTCCCCTCACCCGATTTTATCGATCGGAAAAAATAAATTAGGAATGTGTGGGAAGAGGTTAAATTGTAGATATATTTTTTTGTTTTGTCGAAAAGAAAGGTTAGAAAAAGTTTATCGAACTGTTTCGAGGTTAATTAAGTGATTTTAGGGTGAAAAGTATAGGGGAAAAGGGGTAAGGTAGATACATCTGTCTTATTCGTTCGAGACGAGTTTTCTGACTGGACTTGGAAGGAGAGAAGGCCCGTTTTCTCTCTTAAAGTGGAAGAGATTGAGGTTAGAAGTGGAAGAAGAATAAGGGTCTCTAGTTGCAGGATGCAATTAAGGGGCATTTAACGAAGTTTCGAGATTAGCCGCTTGGACTCAAACTGGTGTGCTCGCGAGCGTTTCATTTAGTTTCGGAATCCATTATCTCTCTTACCCCTTTTACCGATCCACCAATTGAACCTATTGTCGTTCGATCCTATATCTATCTATCTAGATAGATAGATAAATAGATAGGTGGATAGATAGATGGAAGAAAAATCGAAGGAGAGTCAAATTCAGTAGTCCGTACTATTGATTTTTCTATCAATTGTTAACGGGTTTTGTTTAAATCGTTAATAATATACCCCGTACTAGTTTTAATTTTTAAAAAACTAATTTTATTCATATTATTATTATTATTATTATTATTATTATTATTATTATTATTATTTAATAGTTATATTAATATAGAATACGTTATGTATAGTAGATTAATTTAATAATATTAATTTACATTTGAAATCGATTTTTCTAACAAATGCTAGTTGGTTTTGTTTTATTATTATTAATAAACCGTATAAGTTTTACTAGTAATATTACCCCGATTTAATTTTATTTATATTGTCATTATTATTATTATT